TGTGTACTGTCAGTGTAAGGGAGATGTGTGTATGAAATGTGCTATTTTTATATGTGAAGATTACCTTGGGGGTTGGGGATTTAGCTCAGTGGTTGTGATGCCTGACTCCCAAGTACAAGGATTTGAGTTCAATCCCTGGTACAAAAAAAAATAAAATAAAATAAAAATAATAATAAAATAAAAAGATTAACTTGGCTGTAACAGTTGAAGCAAAGACTTTTTGTTGTAGAGTTCTATTGGTATTTTCATTATGGTCCATATAGGAATTTATTTCTGATGTTATCTTTTAGGTTTTGTATGCAAATATACAGCTGATATGAAAATGTTGATGTTTATTATAAATGTTCAGTACCTATTATGAATTTAATACTTTATTTTATTGATATTTTATGTTCCTGTTAACTCCACATTGTATAATATAACAAGAACCTCCTGACAAAGTAGCAAGACCAGAGAGATGTCAACTAAGTCCTACAAAAAAGATAAGAAAGCAAAACACCTGTACTATGAGTGTAAGCAATATATGTGTGTGTGGAGTGTCCTATTGTCTTGTATGAAGACTGGTTTAAGTATGATAATTGAAGTAAGTTTTTTTGTGGGGGGGTACTGGGGATTGAATGCAGGACCTTGCGCTTGCAAAGCAGACAGCAGAACCGCTGAGCTAAATCGACAGCCCAATAAGGGGTATTTTTGTTGTAGCATTCTACTGGTATTTTCTTTTTCTTTTTTCTTTTAATTTTTTGGTACCAGGAATAGAATTTAGGACCTTGCACTTGTGAAGCAGGTGAGCTAAATCCCCAGCTCTACTGGTATTTTCATTGTAGTTCATATAGGAATTTATTTCTGTTATTTTTTAGACTTTGTAAATCAAAAAACAGTCAGTGTTGAAAATTGTGATACTTTTTTTGCAAAGAAATTTTTTGGCGGGGGTTGAGACAGGGTTTCACTATGTAGTTGAGACTGACCTGAAACTCACTGTGTAGCCCAGGCTGTTCTCGAACTCACAGTGATCCTCCTGCCTCAGACTCCCGAATGCTGGGATTATAGGTGTGTGCTACCATGCCCAGCTTCTACAAACAAATATTAACAATTCAGTACTTTTCTGGTTTTTCCTTTCAAGTACTTATTGCTTAATATAATATAGCTCATAAAATTAAAATTAATAATTCATCAATAAAAATATATGGGTCTTATACCCGCTTCAGTATGTTCCTTTTACACAAAATTGCCATGATGCTTGTGTGGCTACAAATCTGGGGGAGTTGGTGGAGGAAAATGGGGAGAAACATTGAAATGTATTATGTACATGTACCATTCACCACAATGAGTGTAATTGTTATGTACTGCCAACATGTACTAAAAAAATTTTTTTTAATTTAAAAAGAAATTTTGAACTCTGCATTGAGAAAACAGAAGGGTTGCATGAGCTGTCTTGGTTCATAAAATCTTTGCTGCTGTCGAGCATGGAAGAGAAGGGAAATGAACAAAATAAACCATGTAGAGAAACTGGAGCTTAAAAATAGTATGATTTCACAGGAGAAATATAGTGGTAGTTAGAAAGGTATAGATTGACAAGTTAGGAAAGGTTTGACCACAAGAAAAAAATTACAGGATAAATTCTTTAGGCAGAGTAGAGAAAAAGACAAAAGATTAAGATTAAACTCCCTCAGGTACTCTTACCTTTCCTGTCACACAACTATCTTTATGTTCAGATACCACTGATGTTAAGTCAAATTTAAAAAAAAAATTGTGGTAAAATTTGCATAACATACAATTAATCATTTTAAAGTATTTAATTCAGTGACATTTTGTACATTCATAATGTTGTGCAAGGCCATCCCATTTGGGATCCCCCCTGGAAATGTAGGAGCTATTCGCCTCTTTATTTTCAATAAATACTCTTCAAAAACAAACAAACAAACAATGTTGTGTAACCACTCTATTAATTCCTCATATTCAATCAATTTCCTCCCAAAGAAAACCCTGTACATTGGTCAATCTTTATTGGTCACCCTTTCTCCAGTGATTGGTAATGTCTCCATGGATTTACCTATTCTAAATATTTCACATAAATGAAACTATACAAACTGGGTTTGAAGGTGCATCCCTATAATCCCACCATCCCAGGAAAGTCAGGTTGGTTCACAAGTTCAAACCCAGCCCTGGCAATTTAGAAACTTAGCAAAACCCTGCCTCAAAATGAAAAAATAAGAAGGACTGGGAAGTAGCTCAGAACGAAAGCCGTGGATTCAAACTTCAGTACCAAAAAATAAAAAGTTACACAATATGGGGCTGGGGTTCCACTGCCTGCCTCGCAAGCACAAGGTCCTGAGTTCGATTCTCAGTACCAAACAAACAAACAAACATTACACAATATGTTTGTGTCTAGGTTCTTTCACATAGCATAATGCTTTTGAAATTCGTCCATAGTGAAGCATGTATCAGTACTTCATTCCTTTTATGAATAGTATTCCATTATTTAGATATATCATTTTTGTTTATCTAATCCAAAGTTGATGGATATTTGGATTGTTTCCACCTTTTGGTAAGGTCTCCCTTCATAGTTCAGGTTAGCCCTGAACTCTCTATGTAGCCCAGGCTGGCCTTGAATTCACAGAGATCCTCTTGCCTCAACCTCCCCAGTGCTGGGATTACAGGTGTGCACTACCACACCTGGCTTCTTTTGGTTGGTATTGAGGCAGGGTTTCATACCATAGTTCAGTTTGGCCTTGAACTCACTTTGTAGCTGAGGGTAGCATCCAACTTGCAGTGATTCTCCTGCCTCAGCCTCCCAAATGCTGGGATTACAGGAGTGTACTACCATGCTTGACTTCTATTCTTTTAGATATACACCTAGTACTGGAATTACTGCGTTACATGGGAATTCTATTTTTTAATTTATTTAGTAGCTATCAAACTACTTTTCACAGCAGCTGGACAATTTTATGCTCCTACCAGCAATATATGAGAGTACTACCTTATATATTCAGAGTACTACACCTTTAACAAATATATGATTCATAAATTTTGTTTTGTTTTGTTTTGGGTATTTTTTGAGACAGGGTCTCATTATGTAGTTAAGGCTGACATGAGACTCACTATGTACCCCAGCTGGTCTTGAACTCACAGCGATCCTCCTGCCTCAGCCTTCCGAGTGCTGGGATTACAGGTGTGTGCCGCCATGCCCGGCCTGTTTTGTTATTTTTTTTGAGCCAGGGTCTTGCTGTGTAGTTTAGGCTGGCCTCCTAGTCATAGCAATCTTCCTGTCTTTGTCTCCCAAGAGCTAAGATCACAGGCATGGGCCAACACACCCGGCTGATTCATACATAGTTTTTTCTCTGTCTTCCTGTGTTAAAGTTTTCACTTGTGTCTTGGAAGTCATTTCTTTTTTTTGCTTTTTTGAGACAGGGTCTCACTATGTAGTTGAGAGTGACCTGGAACTCACTATGTAGCCCAGGCTGGCCTTGAACTCACAGCGATCCTCCTGCCTCAGCCTCCCAAGTGCTGGGATTACAGGCGTGCACCACCACACCTGGTTTGGAAGTCATTTCTTCTTTCTGAAAGATCTTGACAATAAATGCCCTTGCCACTTGGACCTTTCTTAGGGCCTTCAGACACCTGATATTTCTTGAACCATATGGTAGGTACCCGGATACAAATTTTATTGACATTTCATTATTTCAACATACAGATTCTATTCACCCTTTTTATGTGTATGTAGGTATATATTTTTATATAAAAATTTAAATCTTGACAATATTGCTTTTTGTACTCTGCCTCTACCCTCCCTTTCAGTGACATAGGGCTAGAATGGGGGGTTTTCCTATATTTGCTTCTTCATCTTTTCTACAATTGGTGCGTTTTAAATCTTTTGTAACACAATTTCTTTGTGTCCTCTGAAATAATGACACCTTTGGATCTCTGTCTCACCCCATCTTATTCTTCCTATTGGAGGATTCATGTAGTTCTTTTTTCTTAATGCAGATGACTACATAACCTGCATTTCCAGACCTCAATCTTCTCCCATTTTGTATATTTCCGGTCTTTACCAGATGCAGTTCCCTATTGATCTTTTCTTCCCCCAACCCAGTTTCCCATTTCTTCAAACCACATAATTTCCATAGCTTTGTAGCAATTGTTGGCTCCATTCTCTCATCTGTCTGATTAGTTATGTCTTGTGATTTCTATTTTAAATACATTTCATTTTACTCAATGATCATCCCATTATCTTTATTGCTAGTCCTTCTTTACTTCAATGTACTCCCACTTTTCTCCCATTTGTAATAACAGAAACAAAGTGTTGAAATGTGGTGCTAGATAAGAAAAATAACTTTGGTAGTGTGGAACGGATAAAGGAGGGTGCTGTCGAGAGGCGAAGAAACCGGATTGTGGCAATAGGCTTCTGCATTGCTGATCGTAAAGCTGGCTGGTGACCAGCTAAAGCTCGAAGGACTTATCTCCGCTAACCCTGTATTCCACCCTCCCAAATGAAGGGCGCCAAGAGAGTTTTTGCTCAGTGAGCACGGCCTGCGATTCTCTCAGAGCTGTCATCACCGAGTGCGCCAACCAGGGTCAGCCATCCAAGACCGCTCCTGCCAGATTGGCCGCCTGGGGCTCTCTAGCTGCCGACTCTATGGTTCCAGGAATAGCCAGCTCCCGGTTTGAGCAGCCTGGCTTTTGCGCGTGCGCGGGCCCAGGCGCGTGCCCGCCCGCCCTCCAGTGACCGCGCCCGCGGG